GGGAGCGTATAAGGATAAATATATAAATAGCTTCCACCAATGGTATTTCTGTGTAAGTAAATGCAACGAATTCGACTGGAATTCGAACTCGGCTCTCCCATTTCTCATCCACACACACACACACACACACACACACATGTATATATATGTGTGTGTGCGTGTGTGTATATGTATATATTGATATATTAGTGGTCAATATATACACTGCGTGCCAAATTATTATCGAGTTAACATTTTTTCTAATATTTCAAAAACCCTCCAATCAATTCATACAAAATTTTCACACAATGTTGGCAACACTGACCTGCACAATCACTGAAATTTTCATACTGATCTACGCAATGTGAACAAACTGGTGTCATATTTGTTATCAGCACAGTGATTTGAGTGTGCCAAATTATTAGAAAGGTTTAGTAAAATTTCCAGAATTGAGCAAACAAAACGTTTATTAATGTTGCACGTGAATGTTTATGATCAAAAGAAGATAATCAATAAGATATTCAAACAAATAATAACAGATACAAAGGCACATTTTCAAACAAATTAATAGGGAATGTGCTTTCTCTGTTTTGAAATTATTTGAAGAAGTTGGCGATCCATAGAATTTGTTAATTGTAGGATGTCATCTGCTGTAATGCCGCGATATATGTCAAGAATTGCTTCTCACAACTCAGCGTTGCTTCTGAATTGTCGTCCGTTGGCGTACAGTCTTCGCTTCATGATGCTCCAAAGGTTTTCGATTGGGTTCAAATCCGGAGAATTTGCTGGTCACTTCATTTTTCGAGGTCCATCGAAGCCTAACTGTTTCAAATATTCAGTAGTCTTGTGAGCAGCATGTGAGGGAGCATTATCTTGCATAAAAACAATGGCCCTTCTGAAGGCAACTCTTTGCCTTTTCATCCACGGTTCAAGATGCTCCTTCATAAACGCTATGTATGCATCAGCAGTCATTTTGACGCCATCTGGTACTCTCCATAGGCTCACTAATATTTTTCCAATAATACCACCCCAGATCATTATGCCTCCATCGCCTTGTTGGCGTCTCAAACGCTGATGGCGATTCTGCCCGTTCATTACCCAGCCTTTGCACCATCTATCTGGCCCATCAAGTATTGCTCGAGTTTTTCTGTGAACAAAACTTTAGAGAAGTCAATATTCATATTGTCCTCGGCCCATTTCAATCGATTTTGAATGTGATTTCTCGTCAACGGAGGCTTCGATACAGGTTTGACTGTTGTTGCTATTTCCCTCAGTTACTGACACCGAGTACTTTTAGACACAGTAGGATCCCCAATGCGACTGAAAAGCTCTTGACTGGTAAGTCCAGGGTTCTTTGTGCTCTCTCGTTTAAGTCGTGACATGATATGACGTGAAATAATCTTTGGCTTGCCTTTATCTGCCTTTTTGCGTACTTGTGTAGGGTCGGGGTAAACTTTTTCACTGTTTGATGACACCTCCCTATCATTTTAGAAATTTCTAGGGTAGATTTACCTTTTGAGAGTTCTGAGGTGATAGTTTTCTTTTCAGCATCACTTAAACTGCTTTTACAGCCCATCTTTTCACAAAATTTTTACACTTTTCTAATAATTTGGCACACTTAAATCACCATGCTGATAACAAATATGGCGCCAGTTTGTTTACATTGCACAAATCAATACGAACATTTTAGTAATTGCGCAGGTCAGTGTTGCCAACATTGTGTGAAAATTTCGTGTGAATTGATTGGACAGTTTTTGAAATATTAGAAAAAAAATGTTAACTCGATAATAATTTGGCACGCAGTATATATATATATATATATATATATATATATAAATTCTCAATAGGATAGAATATAGGTCGAACTCAATGTCCAGGATAGAGTAAGAATATAATATAAAATGCTCAAACACTAGTATCCCATTTATTACATTGGAATCGTAATCACGATCCAATTCATGTGACCTACAATTATTAAATTATAACCTTGGAATATTAGTCTTAGAGCCTTTTATATTATATATATATATGTATATGTTTCATTAAATGCGCCAGACAAGGTACTTCGATTAAGCTTTATATTTAATTTTTCTTATGTTCGAAGATTCAACTGTTCAAATGTTCAGTAATTCCGAGCACTTTCGCCTATACTTTTAGCCATTGTCAAGGATGGTATCATTTTTAATTTTTAACTGAATGTAAGGGTTATGTGTCTCTATCTAGAGCTATATGGAGTTTCATGTCCAACGCACTCTTCACGTGCTCACTATAGACTGACCGTTACGTAATTTAAAATGAAAAAAAATATATATTCAATTTTTTTAATTTGAAAAATCACATTTTGTACTTAAAATAAACATATTTTGGTAAAAAAAAAAAATAGTTGTAAATATTAATTTTTATATTAAACATAAAGGAAAAATATAGATAAATATGTCAACTAATTTGTTGATTCAAGACGGATAGAATATTTGCAAAAAAATATATTTGCCATAAGGCTAAAATAAAATTTAGAAAGAAAACAATTGAATAATGATGTGTTAACCCGCATAAAATTACCAGGTGTAATCCGTGGAAACTTGCATCTATCTAATATCAGAATTCTTCTTTTTCGTATTTGGTTAGGATGAGAACTTTTACCTACTCCATCCTATTTGGATTAATTTCCTCATTTTTTTTTTCTTGTTTCTACTTTTTAATTTCTTTTTACAGCGTTTCGTCTGTGTACCATCCAAAATTTCAACAATTTTGTTTTGAAAAGATTCGAATCATTATACGGGATGTAACTATTTAATTCCCACAATGATCATAGCCTGTCGTTGTGATAATGTGTCAGCGAGACGTTTATACTCTAGCAAGTCTAAATTTCGCTTTCATGAGGTGCAGACTAATGAATCATTCATTGCCTAGCAGTAGGTGAAATTCTACGTGTTCATGAGACACTGTTGGCGGAAAATGGGTGGAAGCAATCTGGAGCAGTTAATTAACATCAAGTTTTGCATTAATATAGGAAATGTGATAAGGAAACATGTATCCCTATTCCAGATAGCTTACGGTGAAGATACTATGAAGAAATCGAGGGTTTTCGAGTGAGCAGTTCGAGAAAGGACAGAAAGATGTGTATGACGAAGCAACAAATGTGCAGTCCCAAGCAGAAAGAACAGATGCAAATGTAGCTAGAGTACAAACCTTGGTGTTCTAAGATTAAAGAATAAATGAGTGACTAATAACAGCGGAACTGAATATGAATACGAAAAATGTGGTTGGTTCTAACAGGTTCTATTTGGAATGCCAAGAGCGATGCGACCAATGTTTGCTAGCTTATGGCTAAGAAATCTTATATATAAAGTAAAGTGTATGCGTGGGTTTTTGTGCGTGTGTGTTCCCAAGCAATTCATCCGCCCCACTTGTCCGATTTCAATGATTCAAAAGCCCTAGAAAAGTTAGGCATAGGGAACTATTTTCGTTGAGCTCATATTCAGGGTTGCCATATTATGCGAGGTTAAAAATATATAATAATACCTTACAATAGCCATTATAGTTTCTTTCCTGGTTCAAGGGCAGTAACTCTTACTTTTCTTTTGTATTCAAAACTGCAGTGTACGTTTTATCGGGCGGCATTTAAGCTAGCTCCTGTGGCGGACATTTGGTTTGGCCATCATCACAATAGCTAGAGAGGTGTAGATGCGATAGGCATCAATAAACTACAGAAAAAAACTCAAAATTGATTGCTGCATTTAAGTATTGAATTATTGTTTAAGCTTACCTTTTAAAAGTTCAACGATAATTCTTCTGCTGCCACTTAATTGAAAGACGATATACGTAGTTCCTTATTTTCCGTACAAACATTTATTTCATGAGTGACAGAACAGGGAACAATTTATAAGATAAAATTAATATATTGTAAAGACTGGAAAATAGGAATTAGAATTAGTTATACATTCAACATTTGAAGATTTAGAGAAACATAATACGTAATTAAATAAAATCTACATTATGGAATCTATATGAATAAATTCTCAATTGGAGCTCAATTCTCCCAGGAATTTTGAAATTAAAAAAAAAAACTCCGCTCTACTTTATAGTATAATCACGCAAAATGCTAAATATCAGAATTATATATTATCTACTTGTAGGCACTATCGCTCTTCAGGTTTAACTAATTTGCATAATGCTTTTAAAAAAACTTTACTTCATTAATTAACTGTCTTTCATTACAGTTCTTTTATTCGAGGTTTGTTTTGATTTTAATATAAAAAATAGACCTGTTTTGGAATATCGTCTTATATAGTGCAGAAAAGTGTTTGAAATTTGCTTTCACTTGGCCTTCAACAAGTTGGTATCTATTTGTAAAACTTTCCTTAACAATAACAAGCCAATTTAAGAATGAAATGTTCATTTAAAATTTTTGTTTCAAAGATTTCAAGTAGTGAATATATCTTACTTTGCGAAGTGATAGCGAGCGGGCGAAGCCTGCTAGTCTATAATGAAAATGAACCTGCTACCTGAATAAACAAACTTAGAGCTGTCATTCTGATTAGCTCCTCCGAAACTGAAAGACGTTCTGAAAATTGAGGAATCCTGCAATATTTACTGATATCTTGCAACACGCGACGACATTACTGAAATACATTCCGGAAAAAAGAGAGGTTTACTTTGAAGATGACAACAGGTAATATTGTGCAGGTAAGCAAACTTTGCTTCTATAGGGGAATTCCTGAGATTTAAATCTGTATTGTGCAGGTAAGCAAACTTTGCTTCCACAGGGTGATTCCTGAGATTTAAATCTTTATTGTGCAGGTAAGCAAACTTTGCTTCCACAGGGTGATTCCTGAGAGTTAAATCTTTATTGTGCAGGGAAGCAAACTTTGCTTCCACAGGGAAATTCCTGAGATTTAAATCTGTATTGTGCAGGTAAGCAAACTTTGCTTCTACAGGGGGGGTGTCTGAGATTTAAATCTGTATTGTGCAGGTAAGCAAAATTTGCTTCCACAGGGGGATTCCTGAGAGTTAAATCTTCAATGCTCGGCTATCTATCTCGGTCTGCTCATTTTCTATTCACATATAATTATTTTCACAGATATCTAACGCAGTCGTTAAATATCTTGGTTTTTGCTCTTATCTATCTATCTATCTATCTATCTCGTCCTGCGTATGACGATAAACTACATCCGACAGTAAGTCCTCTGATCAGGAGATTTTGAGGAGAATTGTATCACCTTTTAATTGTTGTTGTTCTCAGGTCCATCCTGACCGGGAATACTTGCTAGGCTCCCAACTATGGGCAAATAGTTAACCCCTCAACTGTGGTCAAAGCAATATGAAAATATAAAATTACATTTTTATAGTAAAAATAGAAATAATACATTTTTTAAATATTACCAGCAACACATTTTCGTAAAAAATCACTAATACACCCAAGAAAATGAAATTTCGGTATTAAACGACCCATAAGGATTTGATGTGCCACGAAACAAACAAAAATGAAACATGAAAAATCTGCCTATCTATACTTTAATTGCTTAAATCTTATTTTTAGTGGATACGCGTATTTGAGTAGACGCCCTGTTTATTTGTTTTCTTCTACCGTTCTGAATATTCGAGAAATCTGTGTTTAAAGGTACTTTCCAACTTGGCTTGAAAACTTTAGAAGTGCTGACGCACTTTGTGGCTAAGTGGTCAAAGCACGTAACTTCTAATGACAGTTTACCCTAGGGGTAACGCAGGTTCGAATCCTGCCAGGAAGTGCATATTTTTCTCTAATAAAGTTTCCCGAGTATTCAGACCGGTAGATAAAGTGTATATACTGTTAATAAACAAATACGAGTATCCACAAAAAATAACAACTGAGGAATAAAAATCTGTCGGATTAATAAATAAAAAAATCCATTCATTTACTTTTATTTTTTTTTTTTTTTATATATATATATATATATATATATATATATATATATATATATATATATATATATATATATATATATGCATCAAAATAATTGTTCTAAAAGAATGACCAAAGTCCTTATAAACATATGTTCATAAAACCTTCGTTTTGGAGTTATTAAGTTTAAAGAAAGTTTACGGTAGGTAGCGCTGCATTGCCATATAGACTAGGTTACATTTGTCATTCGTGTACATTTTTGACTAGTGAGGTAACTGAGATAGTTTTCGTTTAACGATGGTTGGATATTAATTGTGAGCACGTAGATACGATTTTTATATATGGCCACGGGAATGGCAATCAACCCGAGCCTGCATGGATGTATTAAATCGCATTTCCAGAAAGAAAGCAGCCGAGTCATCCATCCTTTGCAGCTGTTTATAGTCGTGACACCACAGTCTATGGCTCCAGAAAGAACGATTGTACATTTAACAGCGTCTACTGTAGACTTTAAACGAAATGACTCAAAAACGAAGGATTTGCAGACATATGTTTATATGGACATTTGTCCTTGTTTTGGTGTGAGAAATTCGCCCCCAATGTTTGTAAAAGTATTTTTGATACACCCTGTATATATACATATATATATTTCTCAGAATATCTGATCTCGGAAACAGATATGCATTTTTTTCTCGTATGTCAGGGATCGCTAACATATCTATGTCAAATTATTCTACATACTTGATCAATAAGTATGCAATTGAGCCTCGGTATTAACGTAAATACTTCTCCTTTCTTTGTCTTTTTAAAAATATAAGTCAGTTCTGTGTCATGCGTGATACACACTTAGGCGATCATGTATCTTTCGATACATGACTGGCGAGGCATTTTTTCCCGCATTAGGTTGTCATTTCTTTCTGCGGTAGACCAGTTGCCACCCAAGGCTATAGAACCCGGTCTGTCCTGCTAGTTAGCCATAGCTACTGAGAAGAAGAGGATTCATAACTTTCCCAAGGATATTATCATGTAAGTGAATGTAATGTATTCGAGTGGAATTCGAACTCAATCCGAGCCACTATCCATTGCTCAACTTTGAAAAGTTAATTATTTTAACGTATAGATCTCTCTTTGTTTTACATTTAAAACATCGTATAAAGTGGGTATTATGAGATGAAGTTCTTGGCTACGTTTTGCAATAGGGAAGCTATAACAGCTCCGGCTTTGTAATGTTTATCTCGTAGACGTAAATAGACGTAAGAATAAAAATATTTATTTTGCAAACAAGTAATATATACAGCATAGCAAAAATTAGAAAGTAAACAAACATTTTGGCAAAGATACAAAAAACAAAAACAATTTGAAATAATAAAATACATTATAATGAGAACAACAGTTTAACACTAAACATAAATACAGACATGATTCTAATTGAAAGATGAGCCTACTTCTTTGTTATCATCTAATCAAATCTTGGTTCAATTAAATACGATGCCACACGTAATTGAGAATGGATATCGATTGTATTTCTATATTTTATTTTAATGACACTCGTCGCTGAGAAGTTTGTCTCTCAGAATGACGTCCAAAGTATGTTCAAGGGAATCGTCGAATAGCTTTTGAGGTTATCTCAGCTAGTTCAAGATTACTTTTAATTTTATCACGTCTACGAGATAAACATTACAAAGCCGGAGCTGTTATAGCTTCCCTATTGCAAAACGTAGCCAAGAACTTCATCTCGTAATACCCACTTTATATGATGTTTTAAATGTAAAAAAAAGAAAAAAAAAGAAGAAAAAAGATCTATGTGCCGGAAACAATAGTTTAGCGTATTGACACCGAGACGCCAACCGCACATTGAAGTATTCAGAATATGTATCTTTTCTCCATCACGACAAAGAGATTTACTGGAAGGAACCCGCTTCCACCTTGGGATAAGTAGTATTGTGTCACATGCTATGTAGCCCATGCTATTGTAGTCAAGCCAACCTTTGGCTTGACTACAATATGACACGACGTAAATCTTGTGACATGTCACTAATGATCGCCGTCGGCACCTGCTCGCATCCGAGCATCGGGATCGTCATCCTCTCTCCTTATTTCCTTTCTCTCCTATGATGTCGGTGACGAATGTGGTTGTGAAGGCCCAACTTACTCCTGAAGAGTCGTGAACTGGTGTCACAGAGGATTGTGGTGGACACGGCTAGCAGATCCTTTTCATGTTGACGGTTGGACTCGAACCTTTGAGACTCACTATACAGGCCTCGTGCCAGATTTAGTTGAAGATAGCAAATATTTGGAATGGTGGCTGAAATTGGAGTTACTGATGAAATCTCGATGTACATTATCACTGCAGCAACAGTCGCAGCAGAAATGAATAGCCTCGGTCAGTGAAGTCAAGCTTGACAAGTGGCAGCAGTACTCAGCAGCACGCAGGTTAGATTTATACACTCGGGATTGTACCAAAGAACAATTGTCTAGTGGATTAAAAGCGTTGATTTTAGTGAGATAGAAATTGTGAGTTCAATCCCTTGGATTTAGAGTCAGTGGAGACAAGACAAGCGATAACTGAAAAATACTAAATATTTACAAATCCTTAGATATGGCCAGCGGAACGAGAATAATCTACTCTCCGCAGATTAAATAATGGAATTCTATGAAGGTTATCTGATGAAGATCGGAGAGTACAACGGTCGAAACGATTTGATAATAGCAACAAAGGCGTTGACAATAGTCCACATAAAAATAGCGTAAATAATGATAACCCCTCATCCCTGAAATTAAGAAAAAATCATCATTGTTTTTAATTACATACCACGCTCCTTACTATCGTATCATTCTTTCGAAAAAAAAAGAAGAAAAAAGATAGTTCATTTACCCAGGGCATCTGTCTTGGGGGGGTAGTTGTTAAAGTGCCAGTCTCGATAGTCATTACTATTAAAGGGGGGAAAAAATCTTTACTTGATGTCCCGCTCTTGTAAATTTAGACTGACGTTTCTTACCACGGATTATGTCCTGTCCCGAGATCTTACCATTTAAGATACTGAGGAAATCTTTTAAATTATTCTTTAAAATTATTCTTTATACATCAGCTTTCTCCTCGTCTCTTCTTTTCACTTTATTAGACTCTGTACACATTGTTGCAATAAGGTGGTTAACAAAAGGGACATCCCAAGATATGAATTACATATCGGGGATGTCAAAATTAAACAAGCGCTGAAATGCAATAATCCAAGCAGAGTAAGATCAAGCGACGAAGGGCAACACTGAAATTCTAAGGTGCATAGCACTAACGATAAAATAGAAAAATAAAAGAAAAATAGTAATGGAAACTTAAAACAAAGACAAAAATGCTATGCTTCAGTGTAATGTCTATTTTCCTATATAGCAGTGAAAGCTTAATATTTTCTTCAGATATGGAAAAAATATTTAAGCAGGTGAGATGTGGCTAATTAAGAATATAATCGACTAACGGTAGAGCGGGAGGCACAGTTGAGTAATGGATAGCGGCTCGGATTGAGGAATCGGAGAAACGCGTTCAAATTCCAGTCGAATGCATTACATTCACTTACGTGCTAATATACTTGTGAAAGGTATGAATCATCATTTTCTCCCCCAGCTGTGGGTAAATAGCAGGACAGACAGGGTTCTATAGCCATGGCAACTGGTCTACCGCAGAAAGAAATGGCAACCGTGCGGGGAAAAATCTGCCTCGTCAGTCATGTATCGAAAGATACATGATCGCTTAAGCGTGTATCGCGCATGAACATGCTGAAAAAGCTGGACATTTTTCTTACTTTAAATGATAGAGATTTTGGTTCTACCGACGGATGACGAGACTACCGCCGATTGTACATAGCAACCTTGATGATTTAAGGAAAATGGGAATTAAAAGGATACTTTCAAGACTTTCGTTTTCTGACCCGGGTTCGAATCTCACCGTGTTCGATTTGCCAGGAAAAGTTGACTTCTTGATGTCATCGGTCTGGAAGAAGCGATCCTATTGTGCGCCACCTGAAAACCATACCACGGGTTAATCCAAGCGTTGTGAGTGAAATTGGGTAGACGGAACTGTTTAGGAGCCATCGAAGCAAGAAGTCACAAATCATCATGACCAAGAGTTTTGGGCATTGCTGGTATTGACTGTTGTTCACGCCATAGTATGCGCTCTCGCCCTGTTATTAAGGTTCGCTCAGCATAGTTGCAGTATAAACCACAGGTGGGCTCTCTGGGTGTTGAACAAACACAAGTGTCTGGGCAGGTATCTGAAAAAGGATTGCAGACGACCGTAGATAGGCATCATAGGATATGAGCGACTAACTATTATTATTTATTATACTTACAAACGAGAAGGGGAAGATTCAAATTTCTAGAGCAAAATGAGGAAAGGGGGATTGGAGAATTTAACACACATAGGGCAGATTGAAGTCAATAGGGAAAAAGGGAAACTCTGAGTAACCGATATAACGATTGTAAGCGAATGGATAAGTGTGTGGGAAGAAAAAGAGATAGCAGTCAAAATTCGCTTACAGTTACATTGGGCAGGAAGTTGTGGAGAACCATGATCGCTTTCGTCTCGAAGAGACACCATACAAAAATTAGACGCTTCACTATGAAAGCATTGTAAGGTTCCAACATTGACACCAAGAAGGGTAGATAGGGATGAAGCGACTAGGGGAAAAGAGAAGATTTCTGTAGAATTACGTTTGCAAGACGTCGTAAATATCGCTAAAGTAAGCAGGGGGTGTGTTTTTCAAGAAATTTCTTTTTGGCGTAAGGTCCCCGTATATTTCACAGTGCGTCCACGCATATTTCTCAACGTGAAGAATTCCCGAGAAGAGATCTCCAATTAGTCTGACTCTCTAGAGACCACTCGTGTTAGCTGTTGTCAACTGTCTCGCCACTCGACTGCATGCCCGAAACAAACGGCACATTTCTAAGCTGAATGCATATCTCGAAACGGTGAGTTTAAGGTTGAGTGGCAGGTGCAGAAGTGTTGGGTTGGGGTACAGGGTGGAGGTGACCGGGAGGGGATGTTTCTGAATGAAGGCCCAGGGTTCTTAGTATTATGACAATATTCTCAAATCTCCGAATCAGTTTTTAAGTATTCTAGCTAATTATTCATGAATTTGATGTAAAAAAGGTAACTTAAAAAAAAGAAAAAAAAAAAAAAAAAAAAATTCTATTGTTTCGGCTCTCTTTCATTGAAAGAATTCGTAAAAATCTCAACTTTGTACATTCAGAATTTCCACTAACGGAAAATATTAAATAATTAAAAAATGAAAAAAATTGAAGGAAGAAAAAGAAGAAAAAAATGAGGTGGAAATAAAGGGGAATTAAATTTTTTTCTGGTATAAGGAGAATAAGAATGCATGAACGAAAGAAAGAAAGATTGTCTGGAATAAAAGAAAATATTCAGCTTAAAAATTAAGGAATTATTTCGTCGACAGCTGATATTTATAAAAAGCTCATCAGAAAAAAAAAAACAAACCAAAAAAAAAACCAAAAAACAACAACCAAAAAATCCCAATTAAATCAAGTCCGTCCGCAAAATAAGACTAACATTTGCGAAGTACAGAATATTTTTTAGATTTTAAGTTCACGTTTTCTGGTTTTGCTTTTCGGTTAAAGGTTTTACCATATTTCTTTCTTACTTTGGTTTGAATTTTCTCTTCTTCCTTTCTTCTGGTTTATTGTTCCTTGTTCTTTTAGATTTGACATACTTTTTTTTAGTTTTCTTTATTTCTATCTTGTTTTATTTTTTCTTTTTTTTATCTCCTAATGTCTTTTACCTTTTCATTTCTCTTTCTTTCTTTCTTTCTTTCTTTCTTTTTTTTCTTTCTTTCTTTCTCACCTAAGTCTGTTAATATCTTTCTTGTTTTACGTTTGGATTAATTTAATTTTTCCGGTCGGAATAATTTCTTCCTTTCTTTTTTTCTTTGTTTCTTTCAATATCTATCTTCTTTTAATTTTAGATTAATTTCATTTTTTCCGTCAGATCATTTCTTTGTTTGTTTCTTTCTTTTGTTTCTTTTTGTTTCTTTCTTTCCTACCTCAGTATGTTATTATCTTTCTACTTTTCCTATTAGATTAATTTCATTTTTCCCGTCAAAATCATTTCTTCGTTTCTTTCATTGTTTCTTTCTTTGTTTCTTACCTCACTCTGTTAATATCTTCCTTCTTTTGCATTTAGATTCATTTCATTTTTTTTGACACACCATTTCTTTCTTTCTTTCTTTCTTTCTTTCTTTCTTTCTTCAGTTTGTTAATAGCTTGTTTTTGTTTTTTTTACTTTAGATTAATTTTATTTTTTCCCGAGAAACCACTTTTCTTTCCTTTTACTTTCTTTATTTCTTTCTTATGTTAATATTTTTCTCCTTTTACTTTTAATTTCTTTTTTACTGTCAAACCATTTGTTTGTTTATTTGTTTGTTTGTGTTTGTTTGTTTGTTTGTTTGTTTGTTTGTTTGTTTCTTTCTTTCTTTCTTTCTTCAGTCTGTTAATATGTTTTTCTTTTGCTTTTAAATTAATTTCATTGTTTCTCGTCAAACAATTTCTTTCATTCTTTTTTGTTTGTACTTATCTAAAAACAAAAAAACAAGAAAAACAAAAAAAAAAAAATCATATCCAAACATAATTTAATTTCTCATAAACCAACCAGCGCTACTAAATCAACTTGGAGCAGAGAAGAAGCGTTACTTTACACTTTACCAATTCCTAACACGCATTGCAGCAATAGTCCCTGGAATTCTCCACCCCCATCAAAATACTTTCCATATAATAAACTATAAATAAAACAGAAACAACAACAAAAAAAAAATACTGCTAATAATAAACAATGTGGGGGGGGAGAAAGAGAAACGCCAATTAACCAAACAATTGAGTTAAAGAAAACACTAAACAATAATTGCAAATTTAAAAAAAAAATACCAAACATACATGCAGTTAAAGTCGTAATTTTGGATATAGTTAAAAAAAAAAAAAAAAAGAAAGAAAAAAGAAGCAAAAGCAAAGAAAAGAAGGCGGGGCAATCCACTCGTAATTCATATCTCGTTAGAACGATGTCAACGGGAACGGGGGGACTATGTTTTTCGAAGTTTCAGTAATTCGCTATTTGTTTTCTAGTCTGCTGGTGTGACCAAATTTAATGGCAGTCAACAATAAAGTTCTCACGTCATTTAACTAACTTTTATGTATTTATTTTTGTCGAGTTACTTCTCTTCCCACTCGACGATTATTGAACACGATCTGCAAAAAATGACTTCATCGCTTCATTTTTCTTGGATTTTGAAAGAAGAGAAATCAAAAGCAGATAAATGAAAACAGAAAATAAAAAAAAATGTGAAACAGTAGGATTATAATTTTTAAAAAATAGCGGAAAGAATGAAAAATTGAAAAAAAAAAAGGCGGGAAAAACGGAGAATTAAAAAAAGGCGGGGGAAAAGGGAGAATTGTTTAAAGGCGGGAAAACACGAAGGAAAATATTGAAAGTCTTTTCTTTCTTAGATTTCGTTGGTTTTGTTTGCATTCTTCTTCATTGAATGTAAAATATTTCATTAAACTATGTAGATGACTCGTTTTAACAACGATAATATTTGAGAGATAGAGAGAATGGCAGTGTAGCAAATATTAAAAGTTAAATACATAAATATATAACATTAGTCGTTGTTGGTCAGTTGCAGGACAATTTCTTATCTGACGATGATATTCAATTGCACGATGATTTGTGTATGTTGTAGCATACCCACGGACGATAATGGGTATGTCCCCATTCGCGTAAATAAAGTAGTAAATACTGTATGTTGGTCTGCAGTTAGAGATTCGTGTCCAGCTGTGCTGGTCAAACTCTCTACCTCCGGGCAGAGAGGATCTCCAGACGAGGCTATGTCTAAGGGCAGAGTCTCAACTCGGGAAACAGCTATCCGATCCAGTTATATACTGGGTCTACGGGGAATTTTTGGCCGAGTGTAAGGGCTCGGGTACTCCATATTAAATTCGGCCTTGTGCCACATCTGACTACGTGGGGCGGTTGGTAGATATCATGCAGTTGGATATTCATTGTGGAATTCACTTGACTCACATCTAGCAGTTGACTACTACATTTACGGAGTGCTGGAGAATCTTATATGTCTTATTCTTGCCCTAAGTATTAGCGTTCTTTAGTAACCTTCCATTGACTATTCAATTCAGTAACCTTCCCTGGGTTACAATATCTCATCTTTCGACCTTCCGTCTGTTTTCTTTCTACCATACTTGCTACATATTGGGTACCATTCAAGCCGACTTTTGATCTATCTTTTCTTTTTGCTATGTATCCTGTTCACCTATATATCACGTTTAGTCACTTTTATTATACTTTTACCTGTGATCTCTCTCTGAAAGACGGTAACATTTATATATCACTAACATTATTCTTAGCCTTAGTCAGCCTGCATTTCTGAGTTTGTTTTCAAGTGGTTTTGTTTATTTCAATCTTTAGGATCTATATAGAGTAGAGTAATTTTCATCGGCCTGGAAAGTGGAACCAGGCAGCCGAGTTCAAATGCCAGCTCGGACTGTTACGTTAACATTTGCGGAAATGCCTCTAGAAATGTTATGTGTTCAGTGATCGTTCTTGAAATTTCGTCTATTGACTGTTGGTGAACTATTAAGCTTAAAAATTGAAGTTTGTCAGCATGAATTCGCTTCTTCTCTCGACAACTATGGAGTAGATATAAACAAAGACTAGGCTCTGTAGCCTTGGTTGCCAGCCATTCTAGGAGAAGTATTAGGGTGGAATAACGAGCAAATAGGAAACGTTTATGAATTTAACATGTTTCTCTTTTATTTAAGCTCCATCAGAATTTTTGGGAAAAAAAGTTATGGAAAGGAAAATGTTCAATTATTTTGTATTCTGTGTTGATATTTTTCATTGGTCAGGTAGAGCTCACGTGCTTTTGTTGTGTTAGTGCTTGTGCATGTGTGTGCGTCTGGATTCTAATGGACAGTTTGGGAGCTTTCAAATGTTTCATTCCTGAAGATGGTTGTAGGAGGATAATGCAAAACGTGTGCGTATAGTGATTTTCCAAGTGTAGCTCAGATGTGGCACAAGGCCGAAAATATGGGGCACCAAGTGAGGATCGAACTACTCAGTCGTAATTGTTCTAACGAGAGAAGCTTGCTTAACCATTACGCCACCTCGAGGTGCCCATAGATTTGACATAGGCCGAAAGTATGGGGCACTCAGTGAGGATCGAACTCACTACTCAATCGTAACTGTTCTAGCGAGACAAGCTTGCTTAAACATTAGGCCACCTCGAGGTGCCCATAGACGTGGCACAAGGCTGAAAGTATGGAGCACCTAGTGAGAATCGAACTCACTTTTCAGTCGTTACTGATATAGCAAGACAAGTTTGTTAACCATTACACTACGCCAAGGTTCCCAAACGTGTGCGTATATAGTGATTTTCTAAGCGTAGCTTAGATGTGGGACAAGGCCGAAAGTATTGGGCACCCAGTGCGGATATAACACACTATTCAACCATTGTTAATCTCGCGAGACGATATTGCTAACCATTACACGAGGTCAGAGTGCCGAAAGATGTGTGTGAATTGATGGTTTAGGTATAAAGCATAAAGAAGGGATCGGGAAACCACTTTCCTATGTTTCCCAATGAGTAATAACCGTCTAGAGATATTAAGAAGAATGGGTATTGTACTAAAGGAAAATGTAACAATTATGAACTAAATCAATATGTCTATATCTTGAAACGACATGTACTTAGATGAACTTAGATATGGAATTTATATTGGACTAGCAGCATGGCCCGGCGTTGCCCGTGCTTGATTCAAAAATCGTACGACTCATACTGCAATCGCTATCATTTGACTTAAAATATTTTTGCCCTTTCTTGCCTTTAAAGAAGTGCCCTTTGCTGTGCTGATGTTGCTACATGCCTTACTTCTTGCCTATCTCACACTGCGAATTTTTTTCTAAGCTCTATACTAAACATTAAATCTGTTACAAAAAAAGAACTAAACAAAATGAACACAAAACGATCATCTTTAAAAAAGGACTCGTAACTGGAAAAACCGAATGAAAAAAGAATGTTAACAACAAATACTTTTCCACATCCAACCCAGTTCTGCGGAATCAGAATCAATGTTGAGTTTAAGCAAGCGAATGAGCCAATTGGAGTAAAGGGCCATGCAGATTTAAATTTTTCTCACTTGTGACGAATGCAGCTACCGATTTTTTTTTGCATGCTAGCATGCTAGTTAACATTCGTGTCAGTCAGCTGTTGGCTCTCACGCTGGCCAGTAGAATCTTCCTGCCTATTCGTAGCAGCCAGCTATTTGCTCTCACTATGGCCTGTAGAAAATGGCTGCAAACTACATGAAAAGTGCTGTAGAAGCATGAATAAAATAGATTATTTCCACTATCGATGGGAGTTGGGAAATGCAAGTCGGTCTTGGCTTTGCCGCTAACTTGGAGCATGTGCATGTAAATTTTGGTGCAAATTCGTCGAAAATTACGGCCGTGCATTCGTTACACACACACGCACACACACACATTCTGCCTTTTATAGATAGAGATAAAGTTCAATCTTTAAAAGGTTAGGAAGAAATAACCGTCAATACTGGGAAGAGCTATAACAGCAACTGGACTTGAGAAAAAAAAATTCCTAAAATATAGTTTTAAAAGAAAGATTTTATAAATTTCAACCGATAGCAACACAAACTGCTCGGTCAATGAAAGCTAAATATTCCCTTGCAGGGAAATGATTAATATTATCATTATCCCTACAACAACCAGGGGAATTAAATGAAATGGATAATTTTTTAACCGTTCTATGCTGGTCTGCACTTGCTGATGATGGACTAATTTATGGGCTATGCGAAACTCCAAATATATCGTACTAGCTTAAACCGGGCGGCATTTAAACTAGCTCCTGCGGTGGGCTCTTGATTGAGCCATCATCTGAATTGGTAGGGAAAAGTAGATACGATAGGCAACAATAAACTATAGAAAAACTCAAAATTGATCGCTGCATTTACGTATTGCATTAATATTTATGGTTAACTTTTAAAAGTCAACGATAATTCTTCTGCCACCACTTAATTTAAGGACAGTTTGATGTACGTAGGTCCTCACAATTATTTTTATTTCATGGCTGACTTTCGCAAATTAATTTCAAAGGTATAAAAATTCTTATCTTAGAAAAAAATTCGTCGCAAAAAAATCACGTAAGGAAATCACCGAAAATAATCGCATTAATGAAAATTTTGAATCCAAAATTTCAGGATTGCGGGCCCGGACCAAGCCAGGGATATTTTTAATTTGCTCAAGTAGTCGGTCTGATTTCAAAATGGTATGATATGTTGGTC